AGAAGAAGAAGAAGAAGAAGAAGAAGAAGAAGAAGAAGAAGAAGAAGAAGAAGAAGAAGAAGAAAAGAAGAAGAAAAAGAAGAAGAAGAAGAAGAAGAAAAAGAAGAAGAAGAAGAAGAAGAAAAAGAAGAAGAAGAAGAAGAAGAAGAAAAAGAAGAAGAATGATAACGATGATGATGATACTACAACTACTACTACTACTACTACTACTACTACTACTACTACTACTACTACTACTACTAATAATAATAATAATAATAATAATAATAATAATAATAATGATAATAATAATAATAATAACAGTTATAACAATAATATTAATAACAATTGCAGTTATATAATATTGCATGCTCATCATCTACAACTTTATGCTCTATGCGCATGCAACTCTTATTACCCCAGCAGCACACCCTTGAACACTCAGAAAATTCTTGGTAGGCCCTATATTCATTCGGTCATGGTTTTGAAATGTTCATGTATTAAGTTTTGAAACGATGCTGGGGGGGGGGGGGGGGATACAAAAATCTGGGAAGAAGCCCGGTTTGACCCTCTTTTTCTCATGTACGTCAGCATGAAATAAATATTCTAGGTTATAGGGAATAAGGTTATTCATACGCCTGTCGTGACTGTTAAAATACTTTCAGACTGTGTGTTCAGGTTTTGCGTCCTCAGTTGCCTACATAGGCCAGAGGGAAAAAATGGGACATGGAAAAAATAGAAAGGGGGGGAGGAGAGGTGGGGAAGACGACAGAGGATGTGAGGTTGATGGAAGAGAGAGAGAGAGAGAGAGAGAGAGAGAGAGAGAGAGAGAGAGAGAGAGAGAGAGAGAGAGAGAACGAGCGAGCGAGCGAAGGAGACAGAGAGACGAAGGAGAGAGAGAGGGGGGGGGGAAGAGAGAGAGAGTGGGGGAGAGAATGGGAAGAGACATAAAGAAATGGATTTTTGACTAGCTAATCCAGTGCAACAAATTATGGTTTGGGTTTTTTTTACCCACTTTTTTAAAGACACTGCTTAATGAACTGCGAGCATTGTCTGTCTGTTGTGGTACTGCAAAAATATCAAACAGACCACAATCCTCCTTTTTTAGCCTATGCTTACGAACTGGAGACGGTCAATTTTTAGAGGAACTGTTTACCTTGATTAAACCACATTAGAACAGATTTATTTATCAATTATCAGAAAATGAGGCAGACATTTTTGTATCTTGCGCGTGTAGACGGAAAGAGCAAAATGTTTGTCTGCCTGTATGTCTGTCTGAATGTCTGTCTGTCTGTCCGTCATCCCCCCTCTGTCTGTCTATCTGTCTGTCTGTCTGTCTGTCTGTCTGTCTGTCTGTCTGTCTGTCTGTCTGTCTGTCTGTCTGTCTGTCTCTCTCTCTCTCTCTCTCTCTCTCTCTCTATCTATCTATCTATCTATCTATCTATCTATCTATCTATCTATCTATCTATCTATCTATCTCTCTCTATCTATCTATCTGTCTATCTGTCTGTATCTCTATTTCGCTATCTCTCTTGCATGAAACAACAATCAAATGTGAAAGGTCAGGAGCTGTAATTTTGAAACTACAAGTACAAAATTGCAAGTCATTGAGTCTTGACCTCACTGAAGTCGCAGTCAATGACAATGAAGAAGATACAACATTGTTCAACGAAACAAGGACCCCTTCTCCATAACCAGTAACTGCCTCATCTAATCAACAAGTGGTTTGTCGTTGCTTACTATCTTGTATCTAGTCAGGACATTGCACGTGCGGGTGGATTGCCGATGCCCTTGTGTGGTTTGATTCTACTCTCCTACATCAAACATCTATCGTCCTCATTTCTCCTTCTTCTTTAAATTTTGTTTTATTTAACCGATGTCTAAAAAAAAGGATCCATTTAAAGGGCAATCGCTGACTTATCTTTAGACCAATTTTAACAAAACTTCAAAGAAACAAAATTCAGCCATTAGGACGTTAATATGTCAATATGAAAGAAACTAAATTGTTTGAAAAATATCAAATTTTAACAATTTCAACAAAATTTAGTCTAGCGCAAAACTTTGCAACTTCTCTAAAATCAACCATATTGTTCCTTTTCAAACAGTCACTTTTGTGCATAGAAGAACAGATTTATACAAAATTGATATTGCCAAATAAAATCAGTGAGGTGAAGTGTGTTTAAAACTCCAGATGTTGAGCATTACTCTCGCTACAAGTTCCAATATGTCACTGTAAATTTTCAATAACCCCGTTGCATGTTTCTGGGACGTCATTTTCAACATTGAGTGTTAAACTTTTCGATTGTTTGTGGGTTGTTTCCGTAGACTCTTGTCCCTCAAAATACCCCCCAAAAACAAGAGGTAATTATTGAAAGGGTGTGGTGACCATTCATGTGTTAACTTTCAGTTTACAAGGCGTTCTCTAAGCGTTTCGTACGAGCACACGAGGGCCATTCTTGATGTGTGGGGTGTGGCTTCATCCAACTGGAACCACGCCTCCTTAGCATAACACTTTCTTCCCAAACTTATACGAAACTGTCGACAGGACATGTGACTGTCGTGATTTTAGGCAACCGTCCTTGTCCTGAAACCAAAACATGCCGATCACGCCCCTGTGGCTGAACATTGTAATTTTGCGCTTTACCCAATATTTTGGTTGAAATTCTTAACTTTGATATGTCTCAAATATTATGATTGATTTTCTTTAAATTGCAAACTTGGTGTCCTTATGATTAAATGTTATTTGTTTAAGGTTTTGTTGAAATTAATCCAAATATAGCCGAGTTATTGCTCTTTAAGTGAGTCCCTTTTTTACCTACCCTGTGTTTGTTACTCTCTTTTAACACCTCAAATTTTGGGACTTGTAGGATCTAGTTGTGTTGTAAGTGCCGTAAAACGCTTACTAAAACAAGATATTGCTCTTCAAACCCCTTCCTGGCCTACATGACGTACGCCGCTCGCCATTTTTTTTACCCGGCAAACAAGCCAAGATGCCGCTGCTGTGACGCACAGCGTTCGTCAGGCCTTGCAGCGTGACGACCATGTTGACGAATAGCTTTCGTCATAGGCTGTATTCTGCTTACTGCTTCTATTAGATGTTTTTCGTTAATCGCAGATTCACATTTGGGAATATTTTTTCTGTACACAGAAATCTTTTCCTTTTAAATATAGTTAATAGTATTTGCAAACCAAGCGACTATCGACACACCATCCAGCACAACGTGCCTACCTAAAAAAAAATTCAATGGCAACAAGGCTAGAGGGCGACCGAGAAAGACCTGGATAGATGGAGCCAGGGAAACACTAACAACTCATGGCATCCCCCTGACTCGAGCTCTCCGGTCTCTTTCTTCCCGCGACACCCAAAAGGGTATAAGCGGCGGATAAAAGTAAAGTAAAGTAAGGAAAACAGGTCTAATTATAGGAAACTGACCATGCATAACACTACTTTGTCCCTTAGGATCCAAAACTGCCCATTGAAGCAGGAACTGACCTTTTGGCACGAAGGAATTAAGTCGATATTTGCGGTGAAGCTTCAAACCTCGTCACCGTCGCAAGCATGATGCCCGACTTCGATTCCCAAGTTAGGAGAATTTTTATTGAGTATCTCGGTCTTTCTGCTAGGATGTTGTATTCCTCTCAGCTCGAGTTGACCCTGATATGCAGGATCGAAACCTACCTCCTTCATGTTTTAGATAAGACAAATAGGGCGTAAAAATACCTACGTTATTCTTAAAAAAAAAACCTCATTTACATAATATTGTACAGTTCAAAGAGCAAACAACAATCTGCAATTCAAGAGAACGCTCAAATCTAGGCTTTCATTCCCTTTTTTCTTTTCGTGTAGTTTCCAAATAAAAAACAATGGTTAAATTTGTTAAACTTTTGCATATCCGGGGTCAATTACCTACCTTTGACAAAAGTGAAATCAAAGTGTTGTGTAAATATTGTTGTCCCTTGGTTTGCTTTCACTCTCTCTCTCTCTCTCTCTCTCTCTCTCTCTCTCTCTCTCTCTCTCTCTCTCTCCCCCCCCCTTTCATTATTCCTTCTGTAAACACTTTTTTTCTGATTTTGTTTTCTCCATTTTTCAAAGCTTCATTTTTTTTCTTCTTAAGCCACAATTCAAGGAGGGATTCAGAATATCCGATCTCTACTGTTTCTTCCACCGTTACATTTTTCGAGGTGGGTTCAAAGTCGGATTCCGTTTTTGATGGGTACAAAGTTGACCAGACCCCTCTCCCCACCACCTACCCTAAAAGGAAGAAAAAGTAGGGAACACATTTGTTTTTATGTAACCGATTCAAGTCCCGATTGGTTAAACGTCAATCATTGGTGGCGGATCACTCCGACTGGGCCTGTCAAAGCCAACTTGGACTGAGTGGAATACAATATCCCTGCAGGAAACAAAGATATAGAATATAATAGACTATCACGCTTTGAAATTGAACTCATGACTTTAGCATGATATGATGAAAAGCACAAACAATAATATACTTCTGACACCAGTGAAGGAGATTCTCACTATCAACCCGTTCGTTGTGCTGCTGAGATAATTTCTTTAACTCTTTAAGAACATAGCTGACATAATATTATTATGTCCCATTAGCAACAGAGCAGAGGCAATAATTATTTTTGGTACATTTAGAACCATCATACGCAAACCGAAAAGACGAGGTACCATATTTCATGGTATGCATGTAGCTGTCTGCTTTCGTAAAGATTCGGATAAAGAAAATCATGTTTTAAAACTGTTTGAATTTTTAAATTATGCCACAAAACAGCGCATCATCACGCCTCGTTACGTCCTCAATAAGGTTAAGGTTCTGCTGGAATGTGAACGCTTGAGTGGTAGACTGGACGAGGTTCAAGCGAAGCCTTTGACAGTCAAATTCAACTACCGGTAATGTCGAAATTATCTAAAAAGGCTATCGATTGTCGCGGAGAAAAGTGGCCACCTAGGACAGGTGGGCGTCTTACACAGTGTCATTATAATATACAAAAACTGCAAGGAGGGAACGGAGATGAGGCCGTTTGTACAGGTGATTAATACAGGTGGGTGTTAGAGCAGGCTCGACTGTATTTGCTCTGCATAATAAATGGAGGCCTCAGTTTCATTTTTATTGTGGAACTGGTGTCAAATATGTAGAACGAAGGGCCTCAGCGGAAGTGTTTGTGTGTGTGTGTGGGGGGGGGGGTGTGTAAATTTAGAGGGTGTATCAAAATTTGTTTGTACTAGAGCATGCATATTCTTTGTTCATAGTGTATCTTGGGTAATGACATTGATAAGGTGAGGGGCGGGGGTTAACTACATGTACTAGATTCAGGGAGGGGAGGGCATCTACTGAGTGTGCACACGCTCTATCATAGCAGCCAAGGGGATTTCAATTTACACTTACCAACTGTACTTCGAACTCCTCTTACCCAAAGTTTCGATTAGTTCACTCGTTAGTATAACTCTCCTTACCAACTTTCCACCCTGCCCCCCCCCCCAACCCCATTATTTCCACCCCTATCCTATCTTACATAGTGATTGTTTATATTCCCTTGAAGGTCACCCCCACGATGTTGAGAGGATGTGGCAGTGCGTTCTGCTTGTTGCTAGGTTACTAACTGATATGTCATGTTACACATACTCTAGCGCGTAACCGTCTGGTAGTTTAATTAACAAAACTTCGTATTAACTTTCAATAAGACTTCACGTAAGAAAAAAATAACACTTCACTTTCTGATTATACGTAGAGTTATCAACAAACAGCACTAGAGTGCAGATCTGTGTTTATCTAGCATGACTTAAAGCCTCACAGTACACTTTTGAACTATAAAATGTCAAGCATTGCTTACTATTACTTCATTCTCTAAGAGTTTACATCAAATCGACGAAGCCTAGTTCCTTGAGACAATGGTACCTAAACCTTACCTAAACGATCTTTTGTGTTTCTGTCTAATAAGTCCTTAGGTCTACTGTCGACACTAAATAAAAGACGACTTTCTTACGATGGCTAAATCTTTAGTTTATTCTACTACTTCTCTTCACCTCTCTTCCCAACCGTACCTGACCTTCTCATAAGCCAACCTTGTTCCTTCTCTTAAACTACCCAAGTACGTTCTCTATCTCCCTACTTTTAAATTATTGGGGATGACTGCACACCATATTGTCATAAGGCATTCCATAGCCTTCCCTAAGCTATCCTAGTTTCAACAGTCTAGTCAGTTCCCGGACCTCGGTTTACAAAGGCCCTGACGTCTTATTGTCACCGACTTGCTGCGATCCCACATCAATTTTAAAAAACATTTTCTGGTGGTTTGTATCATATACTTACTTATCCTCGCATCCAGCAAAATATACATGGGACTTATTTCATGAGACAGAAACATCCGTTAATGACATTTCAGGGTAGTTTCTCACGATCCACCGCACCAAGCGTTACTAACCTGGATTCTGGAAATAACGGACTTTGCAAAATGCGGGGCCATAAATTCTAAACCTTGGCCCCCCTATACTATGATTCCGTGCTCTGTCGGATACTGAGCCACATTGGATATATGCTGGGAAGCTGCATTCAGGATAATTTTGTCTGGTGTTTATGTGTCCTGACTGACCCCATGCCACTCTGGCACAAGGTTACTGCCTTACTTTCAGCCCGTAAAGATTTTTCCACCGTTGTTTACTCAGCAGCCAAGTTCACCATGACCCATATCCATATCATCTGTACAACCTACATGTTATATTCTACACCAATGCTTGCCAATCTGGGTGATACCGCTCACAAGTGAGCGATTTGGTGTTTTTGGTGGGTGGTGGGGATCAGCCAGGCAGTGACAGGTATTCTTTTATGCCTCGCTTGGAAATACATCCCGTTGTGTTAGTCTCTTGAGGGTGGCAAAAATGGGCGCTTGTCATAAAAGGTTAACAAGCACTTTTTAGGCTAACATCTTCAATACTGTTATGAATATCAGCTTTTAGCTGTCGATATTTAAAAGGTATAAGTGGTGAAACAGTTAAAGCAGTTGTAGTTCTGGTATTAATCCCCGACCTTGCTTATTATAATATAGTAAATATTTATCATTTCCACCACGTCTTAAATCCGATAAGGCTTATAATAATATTCAATTACTGTACCGTTCCTGCTTCCCATTTTGAAATTGTACTTCACTACTTTTTTATGAAATTCAAAGGAAATGTGGAATCCGCACTGTCAAAAATGGTATACTGCATTTAAAAAGCGTAGAAAGACACTGATTATACCCGAAGCAATCTCCGCCTTTTAACCATCCTCCTCTTTCATTTTCCACCCTCCTCCAGAACCCCCACCACTCCACCCCTTTACACCGCACCCCCTATTTTTTACAATTTAAAAAATAAAACAAAATGTTTAACAAACAAATGAAATAGAATTATGACATACTAGAGAAATTGTCTTTTACATTCCAGGTTCCGGCATCTTCGTGTCTCCCAAGGGCGTGATGCTAGCTACTGGGTCAGTGGGGCTGTGCATGTTTGTCTGGGTTTTTGGAGGTGTCATCACGATGTTCAGTGAGTAGTAAAAACAAATGTATACTACAAATTAATACCGTCGACCTTGTCTAAGACAGCCACCCATTGTCGAGAAGAAAAGTGGTTGTCTTACACAGGTGGACGTCATTTACAGTGTAAGTGTAATTTTGAAGAGATGCAAAGGAGGAGGGTGAAAGTGGCCGTTTGTATGGGTACGTGGTTGTCTTAGATAGATGACCGTTAGAGCAAGTTTGACTGTATATAGTTTGAGGCTTATGTCCTCCCCCTTAACAACCCAAACACACACACACACACACACACACACACACACACACACACACACACACACTCACAAACACACACACA